GTTTATTTATCAGTAAGCTCATATAACATGATTTGTAATAAAACAATTTTTTCTTTAAAAACAAACGTACCACGAGATGATGTAAAAACGGTGTAATGTTTTTCAGTTGCATGGATATTTTTCTTTATTTCTGGAAAAAACGATTACGAAATAATGGGCTCATAGTATTAAACTTAAAATATAAATAGTAAAAAAAATCTTCCACTATAAATTTATATGTATATTGAGCATTGAAATAAAATAAAAAAAACCTGATTGTACGCTTGTGTGAGAAGTTATGGTTCTTAGCATCACTTGCAGGGTCAAGAATAATTAAGGTCTGTGGACTGGTACATGTAAAACGTGGGGAAGAGGGTGTGAATTAAAAAAATAAAGAAAAAAAACTGTGTGCTCTTTTCTTATTTTAGGGCGGGCGTCAAGAGCCTGTAGGTATCTGTGGGGATCATTGTATGGAGACCAAATAAAAAGTGTAGAGAGCGTAGAGGGGTGGCGAGGGGTTGGAGAGAAGATTCATGTAACACAATCACAAAATAAATAAACTTAAAATATTTTGACCCTAATAAATGATCAAATTAAGATACTAAGAAGTCGAAAGTGGGGGGACATCGAGTGGTGTGGAGGACTATGACTCTTGACTCACACAGATTCATTACGTAGTACAGAAAGATATGGAGGTATGTTTTATATTGGTACGTCAGTTAAAATGTTTTATGCTCAAAAATTTAAAAAATTTTTGAATCATACGAAAAGAAATAAGTTTATTATTTTAAAAATATTTGAGGGTGGGCGTGCCTGTATGTATGCACATGTACGTAATTACCTCAGGACTTTTTAAACAGATTATAAAAACGCTTGGCCTATTTATTTTATTGAAAAATATTCATCGATATTTAGAAAAAAAAATTCTATTTTGACGATCAAATTCTCTGTAATTCAAATTTGTCTATTTTAAAAATTATCTGTTTTCTTTTCGTTGTTTCAGGATATTTAAAACTGTATAATTTGGAAGAACGTTCATTATTATACAAAAAATATCATTTAGGATGGCTAGAAGTGACAAAAAACATAGAAAAATCTCTCGTAACCCCACGTAGCAGTATCCCTCTTACTACGTGACTACTGACGTAGCCAATACACTCGATGTTTTGCGTGTGTATTACATTGTTTATGTTATTATTAATCTGTACTACTATATGACACAAAATTTTGCTAACTAAGTCTATCGGTTTTTATAACGTCGTCCCATTTTTCCAAACTATTAATCTATATGATAAAATTAATTCAGGTTCACTCTCATAAGAACTCACGTATAAATTTCATAATAATGTGCGCGTGAATTTTCGTCTACACATTTTCATTCAATTGAATGATTTTTCGAAGTATCACTTTGTTTCAATGGTACAAAACTTTCGAATGTCAGTTTTTATTTATTTCTAAGAAATACAAGCCTTTATTTTTGGCAAAAATTTTCGAGAAGATGCTGCTCTTTGTAAGAACTCGTGTCACAACCACACTTTTTAGCAAGCCATAATTTTGACGATAATCATTTTACAAATGAAAAGAGTCTATCTAAATAGCACGTTCATTTTATCCAGTGACTAAACTTTTAGTTTTGTATGTTTGTGTAAGTTAAAAGATTTTCTGTGTAAATGTAAGAAGTATGTTTGAGTGGAGTCACCAGAATTCGATTGTTTTTGGCGTTAAAGACAAACAAGCTATGCTTAAATGTTTATACTAATTTAAAAAATATTTGGGTACACGCTTAATCCTTCTGACTTCATTCACTCACAAAACTAGTATAAATGACACTCGGCTTCAGTGAATTGAATAAACATGAAAAGAGCACAGGTAACTTACGATCAACTGATTAGATAGTAACGAAAATTATCATACCGATATTCAGAGTTTTTTTTTAAATATTATACCAACAAGTTTCTCTTCTACGTATAATATTACCATAAACGAAAAGTATGGAATAGATAGAAATCTCAAAAAAAAGTTAGTTGAAAATTGTAACCCTGAAAGAAAATTTTTAATGCGGAGAAGTTTTATAAGACCTTAAATATTTTTTTTTTCCTGAACAGCAAAAAACTTTTATTTCACATGGATCAGCAGATAAGTAAATTCATAAACTAAAATAAGGGATTAAAATGCACGTTAAGTAAAGAATCTGTAAAAACATGATTTTAGAAAAAAAATTCAAAGACGTAAATGTACCACATGTTACTTATCGTGACTTTGACATGTTTATTATTAAACTTAAATCTAGTAACAACAACAGTAAAACAATGAGGTTTATAGAGTTAAAGACGATAGGTAACTACACGAAATAATTTTAAAAATAACATAGGCCTAGCAAGTCATAACTAGGCCCTGAAATCAGCAACAAACAACATCTGTAGTCATTTTAAAATGCAAAGATGATAAACGTCTGGGTCCAGAAATCACTTGAGCCACAAGCCCCAAATTCCTCAAGCCCTAACAAGGTCACAGTATGAAGGGATAATGTACACATGTACAAATGTTACGCTAGAATTAAAGAAAGCTGAACTCTACAATAAGTCGCTTATCTCTTTCCTTCGATAGTTTCTTTCCTAAAACATGCATAAATAGTCGTAAACACGAAATGTAAGTATTAATTCAATATAAATATCAATTATTAGCAAGCATGTTTAATGCATAAATACTTAATTACATCTTTCTATAATACAAACCACAAACTTGGAAAGTGAAGCTATTCAAGTTTCATTTGATTACCACATGAATTATTGTTATTCGTTAGGCATACATGTAAACTACATGTTGCATGCATATGTAGTCGAAAGTTCAGAATGAAGTAAATCCAAGCGAAAAGGATTGAACACATTGTTTTCTTAATCTCTAGCTAAACTTAACAATACATCGCTCGTAGGCAACAATACAAAAAAATATAGGCATAGATTGAACACTTATTTATATACGAACGTGTTCATGTTAAGTGTAGTAACGTATATACGTGCATAAAAAATTGTATAATTATGTAACACTTAAATAGTTTTACTTTACAAACATGTCGTGTTCCGGACTATTTTGAAGAAAAAAAGCTAAATTTATTCATCAATTAAAACCTTGATTATCATGTGTGGAAAGCTAATTCTAACGCCAATAATATACCACCGATGCACAACACGGAATAAATAAACTTGGCTTACAAAATTTGATGCCACGGTTTTAGTACCACCTGTTCTTTCATGGTAGCTACTATTTAAGTATATAATTTATGAGACTAAATACATATTTAGGTACGTAAATGAATAGTAAAAGTATCTAACTTTACTATAGAAGTTTGTCTCATAATATAATTTAAAACAATAAATTGTAGTAGGCTCTTACGCCAAGAATTGTGGCTATAAGATGCTTATTATCATAGTAACATTGAACTAATTAATACTAAGACTTCCGTCGTGTAGTTGTCCGAAAACATTTTAATCTAAGAGTTGAAATTTCAATTAACAGAAGTGAATCTTGAATTATAAAAATTAAAATAATTTTTCAATATTTTAGTATGCATTTATTTTTCAAAAAAGTGCATAAAAATTTTTAAATCAGACCACTAGTACAAAAAATATGAGATACTATTCACGAAAAATTACTGAATTTCAATGCACTGCAGCAAGTGTCTTAGCCTTTTTTTACGGAATCGTTTGTACCTCAAAAAATTTTAAAAATTTTTGGACTGTAAAGCGATAATTTATTTCAAATGTCACAAGTTTTAATGCATCCAGTCTATTGTAACGAAAACATAATATAAATTGTAATTTTTTCTACACAAATTGCAAAAAAATAATGTTTTTTGTGCTGTTTCTCTGAAACTTCCTCATACTTTATCTAAAAAATACATGTACAGAAAGTTTTTCTCAAAAAATCACAAACAAGTTTTTTAACAAAGTTTTGTTGCAGAATTTGAAGCTTATTGCCATTGTTAAAACGTTTTTATTCGAACGATTATGACCTAACGTGCTGCTGCACAACAAAGTGTAATGTTTTGTGTAGTATTGAAACTAAAAATTTTTAATGCAACATTTCGATCTGGAATATATAACAAATTTTTTTGAACAAATAAAACATAATGGAACTAGGTGAAATTTGATATTTTTAATTATTTATGATGCAGCCTTACTAACAGAAGTTCTTATTTTTCCACAATGATTTTTTTTTGTATAATTCCATGACTCAACAACTTCTGGCAAAAACTATAAGAAAGTAGATAGTCTGTACGACTTCCATGAATTTTTTGGGCTTGATTTATTGATTAATTCTAAAAACATAAACCTAACTGTAGTAATACTTTTTAGGCAACGTCCTAGCAGCAAGAATCCACTTTAGTAACAAAATCAATACATACGTTAAATACTGTTGTCAACAAATATTTTGATTTTTTTTAGTACTATTAGAAACTATATTATCTGTAACTGTACAAACATATTTTATAATACATTTATAGAAAAAAGGCCTTAAACATATGTATATTCCAAAAAAAAGACTCTTAAATATCTATGTATATATTACATCAATGGCAAAACATTCCTAGAAATAATTTTGAAAATTGCAGTTTGGGACAGTCAAAAAATATGTTTTATGAAACTAAGACAAAAAAAAAAACCCCTGAATACGTTGATAAAACCGTTGATTTGTGGGACTGATAATTTTTCTATAAATATAGTTAGTAGCCAGTATCCTGTTTCATATGTTTTTTTAATGCTAGATTCCTATTTTTAATTTTTGAGCTTCTGGGCAGCTCCCAAGCCTTTCTTCATATTCTCTATCGCAGATAAGGCGGAAACAAGTAGAAAAATACATAAAGATACCTTACTGTGGCACCAGCGAGTAAAAATACAATTTAAAAAACCATGATGTTAACCATCGTAAGACTAATACAGTTTAATATGTAGCGATAACTCAGAACATTTGAAAACTAAAACGATTCACATGAGAATGACAATTATAATTATTTAACTAACTTAGCTGTTTTCATTGGTTTCAGCAGAAAACTTTTCTCCAACTGCTGAATTTTTCGGGTTACAATCGATTTTCCTGGTGGTGCCGAGACTTCTTTTATTGTAGTCACAGTAGCAACTGGTGGACATGATTCATCTTCAGCTTCAAGTTCTAAGGAAACAAAAATAATAATAATAATAATAACAATACAAACTACAGAATTATTGCCCTATCAGAAAGACTCATTATTATTGTACATTCGGGGGGGGGGCTCAGACCAGATTAAAAGAACTACGGCTCAACTATCTTTTTTGGAAGTTCTCAGTAATGATTATAAGCAGCTTACCTAACAACCGGAATACGTTTTATTACGTGGAGGCTATAACTAGGTTCGGAGACTACGGATTTTTCTTGGAAATACTCGGAAAAAGAAGTTTTGCAAGAAGGCTTTGGTGGGGTTAAATAAGAAAATTAAAAATTGAACTTAAAATTAAAACAATTAGTATTTACCAGTGTAAAAGTAACCTAACCGTTATCAAAAAGGAAAAATAACGCAAAAGTATGTAATTCTAGAACAAAGAGAAAATAGTATCGAAACAAAAACAAATCGATCGTCTCTTGTCACTAATTTGCATAACAGCAACTTCATTATAGTCTAGAACAAATTGAATCCACATTGCAAACAGGATTTTCATCGCAAAAAGTGAGCTAATATACGACCAATACACAAACTAGAAAATTATGCAATTCCCCAAAAAGGAAATGAAGTGGCGACACTAAGATCTAATGGTATCTGTAAACTAAAACATCAACTTTTAACTTAGATAAAATACTATGCAACAGTACAATTTCTTACTGGTCAATAACGTAATACATTTAAATGCACATATATGTAATTTTTTCGACTACTAGGCGTAATAATGCTTTCTGTATAAATCAACAAAGTCTAAATATTCCAAACCATATACACATAATGAATACTTAAATTAAACTATAAATTTTATTAGTCTTATTACGTTAGTCAACCGTTCGATTGATATACAAGTTCCTTGCACATTTATTTATCAGTTCATTAATCTATAGTTACTGAAGCATTCTATTTTTGTGTAAAAAGCGAATACTTAGGTCATTGGACGATCAATGTCAATCAATCATTATAAAAGTATACATATATTGTATATATATATCTAATTAAAAAACCTAATTTACTACAAAAATTGCTGATTTATTATCAAACTCATGCTTGAACCTCCTAACAAAAGAAAATTTTCTTAACAGTCACAAAAATTTTCATGTAGCCCTGAAGATAAACAACACGAGATAGCAATACAATGCTCGCTAGAACTCTGCAGTGTATTGTCTTAGTACGAAACATTCATCAAAATAGGTATTCGATTTATTGACGAAAAAGGTATCAGAAACATCAATTTCAGTAAGTAGCCCTTAATCGATAGAGCTACACTCCATACATGGATTCTATCTTTAGAAGACTTTGTAAAGCAGTTGTGTAATAATTGGTTTAACTAAAATGAGCAAAAGCAAGTCTTCATTCANGAAAAAGTTTAAATAATTATTATTATTTAATTTATTTACACTTTGATACGTTGCGTTATCGGTGATGTCAACAATTTTAGGTTTTCCATTTGTTACCATACAGGGTATTATTTTATTAATTATTAAAATAACTATTATTCATATATATATATATACACACATAATTAACGAAAAGGACAGACTGTTCTCAGAATAATATGAATTTGCAGTACAATACATACATTCCACTTTTATTCAATACAGTGTAATAATTTTTCACCTGTAAGGTACTACACAAACAGTAATAAACAATGCAAAAGGTCTACTTTTTATGTAAAAGTACGCATAGTTAGTGTAACTAGACAGTATTTTCCCCGGCTGATACTCACGGCTCCTAAGGTACCAAAAACGAGCATACATGTCACGCACGAGGTTCCGATGTGTGAGCAAATCTGGAAGGTTGGATAAAGACTCAGAGTCTACCTCTGACTGAAGAGGCATGCAAACATGAAAGTGTATAGGAGTCAAGGCATCTTAGTTATCAGCGTCTCCGGAAAAGGTGACCATGGAATGGCTGTTCAGCACCATCTTGATGCTGACGAGGACGGTGGAGAATTCCTTATAAGTTAGGTGGCGAAAACTCCTGAGTCTCCGTAGATGGTCCTTGACGGATTTTCCGGTAGCCTCCCAAAGGCCGTCAAAGTAAAGTGTTCCTACGGGAATAAAACGCCAAGAAATTCCTTGCTTCGATAAAGTAACAGCAACGACGTCCCATTTCAGTTCTGCTTCACGCAGCGCAGCTCAAAGCTCAGCGTCAGTGTCTCGGAATCAAGGAGTCGCGTTGTCACTCTACATCCTTAAAAAATGATCTCAGCGCTCAATTAAGTAAGAAAGAGCCATAAGAAGCGATGCCATGGATAGGTCACCGACGAGCTCGAGGTGTAGTGCCTTGGTGGCGAGGCAGATGTGGAATGCGACATACCTCTTGGTCGTTCGGATTCCTCTACCTTTGGCCGATAGCAGAGAAAAAAGGCCAGCGTAATCCAAACCAGTTCGAGCAAATGAACGAGACGTACTTGGACGGTGTAACTTGAACGACTGGCAGGTTGGCCATTATTTGAGAGAAGGGCTGAGCTCGAAGACCGTCACAGCTTACATTTTGGAGCAGATGGCTCTTCACCTTCCAAGGACCACCAAAAATGTATGCCCTTGGCACGTAAGCGTTTGTGACACAGTATCCTTCGTGTAAAGCTTGCAGGTGGGCAAATGAAATTCTAATTTAAGCGAGCTGACAGGATACACTGATAAATAATAAGTGGATGGAGCTCTTTGAAAGGTAGTGCAGCGTTCTTAAGCCACCTGCGCACGTGGAGAGCTCTAGAGGCCACATGAGACTTGGTATGGTCGACCTAGGTGCTGCAGAGGTCGATGGTCTGAGACTGCGAATAAAAGCAAGCTTTGTGCGGACAAAGATCAGCTAACACAGTGACTCGTCCGGAGACGATTGCACGCAGAAATACACGGCGGCGGCCATAACACGGTGACTAGCGTCAGGGAAGGCATTTAGATGAGAAACGGACGGGTAGCTGGTACCTATCAAACGTGGAATGGAGAAGCCGGAGATAACATGCAGTTGCTCAACAAAGATCGATCAGCGCTTCGACATGCATGAAGGGACTGCCTCGTCTCATGCCAAGCCTACTCGCCAGAGACCTTGCAGAAGAAGCTTTGCACACAGTAGACGAAGAGCAAGCCATCAACATGGATAATATAAACTCGCAAGGGTGGCAAGCTTAGTATTTTTCGTCGAATGAGGTCGAACGGAGAGCAGAATGAGCCAAAAAACATCAGTCTTAAACCTAGCAAACTCCAAGCTCACTGACCTCAGTCACTATCCCAATCACAGAATTGACACTAATCATCTGGTGCTGGTCTCAAATTGCCTGGTTTTAGAGGTGGAAAAAGGGTGTTATTTCTATAATGAATGCAAGCCTTTGCTTTGACGTAATGAGCCTCTGTCATCGCATAAAACTCAGTTAGAAATGTCACATCGTCTTTAATGGTATGTTCCGAGAGCTCCAGGTGACAGATCTGGAAGCTGCTTCAGCCTTCTAGCAGTTTGAGCCGCACGTCTACACTTCCAAGAGTCCTCTAGTTTGTTTGATAGCATTAATATTGAAAGCAAATCGAGAGGCAACATATCTCTTTCTTTCTTAGATCGACATCAACAGAGCTCTCTGAACGTCCAGTATGACGACTCTTTCTTTATCCTGCCTATAAACAGGACATCGAGAGTTCAATGCTACTTACGCAAGTAGAACTTACTCTACTTCTCTCTCTCTCTCTCTCTCTCTCTCTCTCTCTTTCTCTCTCTCTCTTTAGACCGGCACAGGATGATTGGCACTGACTCAATAAAATGCCAAAACTGATCACAGTACACGTCCACGATGACGAGCAGCTTACTCTCGATGAGTGCGTAAAATCACGTCGGGCATGACGGTTATTAGGAAATGCGGCTACTGTTTACAGTACGCATTTTGATCAACAATAATATTTTCTCTAACTAAATTGCAGGCTCACGTATGAGATTCACCATGTGAACACTCGGCTATGAGCGCAACAACTTCTGCATAATTTGCTTTTATACGGATACTCACATAGCCGCTAGGTTAGAAGTTCTCCATCCACCGCTGTGTCTGGGTAATACGGCTCGAAGGACCAATGTTGTTTGTAAAGTGACGTTTATTAATATTCAAGAAAAATGCATCGAAATCCTTGTTAGAGGGCATGCGCACACGCTGCTCGTAAGAACAAGCAGAATATATACAATTATAACAACACTTTTTATGGTCGAAAATTAAACAAACTGCTCTTGATGAGAAGCTGACTATAAATCAATTAATGTTGATTTTATTTTAAATTACGAGTATTTGAAAGCACAAAGTTCCCAATGAACTAAGCTTTTCTTCGTTTACATCATTGTTTAAGTATGCATAATTTTTTAATTACTTACACAAATTTGTATCACAAGATAGTGATACACATATTACTTAAAAATACTTAGTTATGGAATAATAGTAAACGTGAGAGTATTATTAAGGTGGCTTATTTTATGAGTCACATTTCAAAGCACCACTAAGACAATAAACCCCAAGTTCTTTCTATGATTTAGATTTCTGATATGTTATTTACTTAAAGATTTGTACCATGTAATTAATACATTTATTTATTATATTAAATATCAAATTTAAAGAGCCCAACTCTTATTTAACCCTTCGGCTTATGTGTAGCATAGAATAGCTTTTGAAATATCAAAAAGCGATGTCAATCTTATGAGCGTTATGATAACGCACATCAGTAGAAGTATCACTCGTCTTTGTCTGAGGTTAAATCGCTAGCACGTCTTACTAATAAGTCCAGCTTGCAATTAAGGTTGAAACAAGTTCCTTCCTTTTCTCTCCTTACGGTCAATTATTCTTTTTAATATACCTTATACTCTATAATGAAGGCACCAGGTATGCATTTAGGTAGATGTTGACTTGCTTGGCATTGATAAAGTAAACATGCATGTGAAGGTGCAATATGATTAACTATGTTTAAATCATTGAACAAAAGTGATGGTACTCGATTATTAGAAC